CCGCTACGGATAATAAATGGATAGGCTAATTGGGTACCCGCGGATAATGGGGACGAATAATTTTTTACCCGTTTATAAATGGGGCGGGGGCGGGTATGATGATATCCATACCCGCGGGTACCCGTTTAATATTATTTCTTAAATATCCTAATTATCCTTGTACCAGATAACCCTAAAACTACACTCTCTCATCTTATTTTCTTACAAAAGTGAGGTTGATGAAGTTACTGACATGTGTTAAGCATGTTATAGAATTATGTTAGATGTAATTTGATTAATTTTCTAGCTTTGATTGGACCAATAAGATTTATGTATTTTAAGTTATTTACTTTCATTTGCAGTTATGAGATTGAATTATTGTAGTTTTGTGATGAGACTTTATATTTGTGAGATTGATGTATTTTAAGTTATTGATTATCTTGAATTTTTATTATTATTTCAACAAAATTAACGTTAAATAAAAGTTTAAAATTAACATTGAATTTTTATTTGTAATATTTCAATGACATTAAAATATAAACTTAAAATTATTTGTAATTAATTTTTTTAATTTCTTAAAATTTTATAAATATCCATGGATATCCGTGGATATCCGTGGGTATTCAAGAAATACATGGATACCCGCTTAATGGATACCCGCGCGGATATGGGGTGGGTATGGAGCCAATTTTCATTCAGCGGGACGGGGGAGGGTTTACTATTACCCGCCCCCATGGGGCCCCATTGCCATCCCTAAGTGTGTGTGTGTTAGGAGCCAAGTATGAACAATGATTATAATGGAAGGATTCAAATTCAATGGTAAACAAGAAGTCATTCAAATGGTTAGTGATTTTATCTCCACAATTTGTTTATTAATGAATATTAGGCATTTTATTCATAGAATTCTAATTAAAACTAATTGCCTTCTGCACTGTCCAGTTTTAGCATGATTCTGCTACAATTTTTGGTATTGGTGGCTATTTTGTTGGTTCATACTCTTTAGTTGTAAGGTTTATATCATGATTCTGCTATAGTTTCTGGTTAGAATGGTTGTTTTCTTGGTTCATGGTCTCTAGCTGCATGGTTTGTTGCATGATTTCTACTGCAATTTCTGGTTTGGTTGGTTGCTTTGTTGGTTTATAATATTTGCCTGCATGGTTTGCAATATGATTTCTATTGCAGTTTTTGGTTTGGCTGGATGTTTTGTTGGTTTAGTTCTAGTTTTGGTTGTTCAGAGTTTGAATGGACTACTCTCAGTCCTTGGTTATTGGGTTGGGAACTAGTTGGCTGCTACACATCTCTGGTTTGGTGTTCCTATTATGGTTTTGGCTTCATGGAGTTGTTGGTTTGTAGTTCTAGTTTTAACTATGGGTTATGTTGTTGGTTACATTAATTAGTTGATCTGTTTTGGTCCTTGGCTAATATAGTCGTGGGTGTTTGGAATTTTCATTATCATATAATATTTTTTATATATATTTTTCCTGACTGAGTGTTTTTTCTTTTCTTATTTCAGCCAAACGATGCTCCAAGTGTTCCTAATACACCTTTGGATGCAAGAGGATCATCTGGTGCTAGCAACCCTTAGTTTGCATATAATGTCTTTTGGATTTAAAGTTTAGTATGAGGCTAATTTGACAATGTTATGGATTTTATGTTGTACTTGGATTTATAATAGAAGTTTGAATTATAAATCTTTGAACTATATGTTGTGTTTTTGGTTATTAATGGAATTTCTTCATCCATTTTATGTGTATTTTTTTTCATTAAGTTTCTTATAAATATCAAAAGTGAGAATGGGAAATTGTAATGTAGATTATACAATTAAAATGAGTATAAAAATTCTTATATAGGAAAATAGGGAGGATTAGAAACTCCACAAAAATATTTTGATTAATGATTTTAATAGTTAATTTACTTTAAAACTTCCACTAAATAATCTTTACTGTTAATCCACTTCAAGTAAAAAACTCCTGTAATTAGCATAGCTTTAAAACCTCCTTTAAAAAACCTCTATAGTTAGAATAGCTTTAAAACCTCCTTTAAAAAACCCCCACTATTAGTGTAGGTTTAAAACCTCCTTTAAAAAACATCCACTATTAGTGTAGGTTTAAAATCTCCGTTAAAAAAACCTCTGTTAAACACTCACAATACCAGAGATTTCTAAAAAAACGCCGCTAATTGCTTGCGGCGAATGTAACTGCAGAGATTTTTAGAAACCTCTGTGATTTATTTTGTGGAGGGTAAAAACCTCCACTAAACGTAAAAATAACCTCAACTGTTTAGCTCATTTATTGTAGTGAATGCACTATCAACTTTCTTCATTATTCCTATTGACTTTTGCATTAATTAGTTTGAACATTTTCTAAATTATTGAAATCTTAAATTAATGCAATTAATATAGTTGACTACTGATATAAAAAATTAATATAGTTGAGTAATTACGTTATATAATTTAATTTGTTTTATATTTTTTTGTTTGAGAATTATTTTGCTAGTATTATATTCTATCTATAAATTCATGTTTTTTTTCTTTGAAACATCATAACAAGAACTCAAAATATATACAAAATTATAAGATAAACTCTAAAGTCATAGGCAAAAGTTATGGAAAAGAATACTGGAGTTGCGATTATGATCATACTTATGTTGGGATTTGCACAAGCATACGACAATTCTTCATCTATGAAAATCGAGTCTAGAAATGCAACTGATGAACTCTCATGTGCTGCCAAATGTGGCGTAAATTGTTTAATAGCTAACCTTTTATATCCAATATGTTATGCTATTTGTCTTTCAAAATGCAATAAAGCACCTGCTGATGGTGTCTATAATTGTCTTTCTGGTTGTGGCTTGACCAAGCCTATTAAGGCCAATACTCCAGGTATTCATTCTTATTCCGCATTAGTGCTTTTTAATGTCTTATAATTAATTTTACAATTGAGTTAATTATAATTTTACATCTTTTGATAATTGACTTTCTGTGTCAGCTGATCGTGATCGTGCAACCCAACAAGTGGATTCTTGCTTACAAGAATGTCAAACGAAATAATTTGTTACAAGAGTGTTCAAGAATAAAGTTGTTAGGAGAAATAATACTCGTACATGATTGTAATAAAGAAACATGCATCAATGAGTAATATGTATTATCTATTATTCATAATTCCTTTATTTAATAATTTCCTATCAATTTTCTTATGTTTAGTTCAATCGGTAAAGAGTGCTTGCAAGCAGTATTTTAAAAACTGGATCGGACTGGCTAGTCGGATTGGTTGAACTGGGAACCGGTGGTCCAGTTGGTCCGAACTTTAAGTTAGATCGGTTATGCATTCGACCCGTTTCAAACCAGATTGAACCGGTCAATTTTTTGGTACGACCAGTGAATCGGTGGGTCAAACCAGTTCAACCACAATTTTTTTAAGGGACCACAAACCACAAAAATAACAATGAGAATTGAATCTTTTAATGAAAGAATAAAGAGTCTTATTAAACATATTATTTGTAATCTATGCAACATAAATAACTTTTATAACATATTATTAATTTTAAATTATATATTTAATAATATAATATCTATGTAGATATTACATATATTATTTTGTGATATCAATTGCAAGCATATTATATATGTACATATTATTTATATTTTTAATTTGTATTAATATACAGTTTAATATGTAATTTTTTTTTACGTATTTCTTTATACAAAATAAAAATAAAGATAATTTTCAATAAGATGGAAATTAAAATTTAAAATAGGATATGAATTTATTAAAATTTATAAGTATAAAATATATTTAACCTGAATATTTTTTTAAAAAAATTAATAAAAACCGGGTCATGCGGTTCAATTAGTGATATACCGATTCAACCTTTAACCCACTGATCCAGTACCCTAACTGGTTTAATGACCAGTCCAGTTTTTAAAACTATGCTTGCAAGTGATATAGTGCATGTGCTTTGTGCCCTTATCCAATATTTTTGGTAGAATTTGTCGTTATTTATAAATAAGGAATTCCTTCGTAGTTTCCCTTGTTTTTAGATCATGTATAGTTCTTTTGGTATTTTATTTTAATGACAATTTGAAGACTTTGTTGTTGAAGTTGTGACACCTTTCTACTTTTTATACTCCAGATAATTAAATAAATCTTTTTAATAGAACACAATTTAAAAACAAAAGGTATATGTAGATATAAATCTACATCATCATTTTATAGTAAAAGGGTTTGTAATTCTTCTATTAGATTAAAAAACGATCACGTATTCCTTGAGTTTAAATGTTAACAAACTTAAAGGTTTTTCAAAGAACTTTTTTTTCCAGATTATGCTATAAGACGAATTAGAATAGACAATTAATGACATGTAGTCTCTGAGACGAACCACTTCATTTGTAAGACGAGTGCATTTAATATATATCATTTATAATGTATGATACCCAAATCATATTTGTCTATGTTATTTCTTAATAGATCGAAAGAAATAAAGACTATAACAGCATGAGCACACCAAAATGAGAGGGATCCAAAGATTTGTATAAGTATGACATTGTATATTAAGGATGACTTAGAGCAATTAATTTGTACTATCTATACAAACAAGATATCACATTTTTGGTAGCTTATCACATAAGAACTCAACAATTAAGAGCAATTTGAAATGTGTAACATTTTGGGAAGTTTCCTAGAAAGTGTGAGTGAGGACCAAACCCACTGAAAAGTCTTGGGTTGGTTTTTGAGGTCAGTCATTAATCCTAAAGGTGGTCAGACATCTCAAAAATGGTTACTCATGGAGGGTTCTAACACTACTAGAAAGTGACTGTTCAACATCGTCAATTCTACATCGGTTTAGGTAGAACCGATGTAAAAATTGGATGCGGTGGCATATTCATAAATATGAGTTGAATGTAAAGCAAATTTACATCGGTTATATACAAAATCAATGTAATTATTGAACATTTTACATCATTTTTAATTGGACCAATGTAGATTTAAATGCGCGGTGGCAATTTTGTAAAAATTTACAAGTAGATCTACATCGGTTTTCAAAATAACCGATGTAGTATAGAACCCCGTGAAAGCAAAACCCTAGTCCCCTCCTTTTCCTTCCTCAACTTCAACTTCCTTGTTCCACGCCTTCCTCTGCAACGCCTAAGACTCCAAGGTCCACGCTGCTAACAAGCTCGCCTCGCGTCACCCTCGCCAGTCGCCACTTGCGAGGTCTACGAGCAGGCTCCGACGCACGTCACTTGCAAGGCTGACACTGCTGCGCTCTGCCTCGCCTGCGATCGCGACATCCACTCTGCCAACCCCCTCACCATCCGCCACGAACGCCTCCTGGTCACTCCATTCTTCTAGTCCGTACACTCCGTCAAGGCCTCCGCTTACATAGATCTGGATTACAACACAGTGGATTCGAAGGCGGAGCAGAAAAAGCTGTAGCTCTGCCGACGGCGTCGTTCTGGTGTAGAGCAACTTCGAGCCTTTTACCTATGGTTACAAGTTCAACTCCACTCTGTCACAATCTCAGTCACAAATGAGCCAAAATGTAAGCCTAAGAACGATCTCGAATTCTCGATCTATCCTTGCTATAACTGTGTATATTTTGTTTTTGTTTTGGAGTCAAATACGCATAACGTTGATTTGTTTGTTTGTTTGTCTTGGTGGATGTTGATTTCTTCGGGTATTCTCCCTTTCCATCACCCAGTTTTTCTTCTAAGCAATATGTAGCTTTTTTTGCTACATCGATAATGGACACCACGTGTTTGTTGAAATGCTCCATCGATGTTTGCTTACTTTTGTGACTTGGGTTTACTCTGAATTTGGAAAATGGTGTCTTTTTTTGCAGGTATACGAAGATGGGGTTTGCTGGTAATGTTGAGCCATGTTTTATTATTCCGATAGTGGTTGCATATAGATTTACATTGATTCTTATTATAATTGATGTAGATTTATGACTATTCTACATCAATTTTAAAACTGATGTAAAATTGTATACATTTACTACGTCATTCTCTTCAACATCGATTTTAGAATCGATGTAGATGATGTTAAAGAATCAATGTAGATAGCGTGTCTTGTAGTAGTGTAACAGGTGAAAAGTTTTGATCAACGAGAAGTTGTATAAAGTGTCACAATATGAAATGTCATGGAATGAAGTCATTGAGACATCAAATTTAAGGGATGTTACAAAGAGCATTTTCGGTACTTGCACTTCAAAAAGGAATAGAGACATGTTTTTTGTCCAAAAAAGGATAAGCAAACCCCTTAAAGCATGCAAAGTCTTAAAAATAATCATTCCTAACTAATACACACAATAATTCCTTTTATTTTGTATCTTAAAGATGATAAGTAGGCTCCCTAATTAGATAAGAAAAAATAATTTGGTGAAACACGTCTAATGCTCATATTTAATCCATTCACAAATTTAACACTTCTCTCTATAAGGAAGAAGGACAAAGATAAACAAAGCAAGCCTATGAGAGATGCTCATGGATTTGCAACGATCATTTTTATGAAACACATATAGAAAGAAGCTTGAAGACTTAAAAAAATGAGAAAGAGAACAATATTGTAAAACCATTACATTTTTTATGTAAAAAAAACTACTTAATATTGTTGTATCACATCTTGAAAGTAAGATGAAACAATTAGTGATTTTCCATCTTTAACTTTGTGTTATTGCCTGAAGTCTAAAGAGGTTTTCTTGTAAAGAATACTTGGTTTTTGAAGCCTGGAGAGACTTCATTGTTCAAAGAATACTTGGATAACTATTTGAAGAAGCAAGTTAAAGCACACTTAGATTGAGCAAAAAATGGCTTGTGAAAGATTATTTTTATCTCTATGAAAGATAAAAGAACTTCATTAGATTGATCAAGAATTGGACGTAGTCTTGGTGGTTGAGACAAACCAATATAAAAAATATTGTGTTCTTTGCTTTTGACTTTTTGTCTACACTCTTAAGGTTTTTAATAACTCTTCACTATTTCAAAAAAAAGTGTTAAGTTTTTTATTAATACTATTCAACTTCTTCTAGTATCTTTTTTTTTTCCATAATTTTGTAAATATTGGATTCAAAAATTGTAAATTTATTTATTATAAAATAATTAATTCACCTTTATTTATATGCTTTAACATTGTGATTATTTCTATTTATTTAGTTATCAATTTTTTAATTGTGAATCTCCATTGATTATAATTAACTAACACGCACTAGTACACAAAGGGTCTTTTACGTCGCTTATTTTGAGCTATTTACGTCGAAAAATGTTCCAATACCGGAGACGTAAATTTACGTCGCCTATAAAAGACGATGTAAATTTACGTCGGAGATTATCCCAGCTCGACGTAAAAAGGGACAAAAAACATGCCACAAATTTACGTCGGACAAGGCATGTCCGACGTAAATTTACGTCGGGCCTTGCTATGGCCGACGTAAATTTACGTCGGACAA